TAGAACACATCGGATTAATGAAGTTAAATCAACAGAAGAAGCTGTGATGTGCCGTTACGAACAAGAGCAAGCTCAAAAACGTACAACACGACCCAGAAAAGGAAGATACATACATGATGATACTAAACTTATATTAGCAAAACAAAAATATATTCAAAGTAAGGATATTGATGCTTATAAAACGGTTTTAAGATCTATTTCTCATCGGTATATACGTGTTTTAAAAGATTCTAAAGATAGTAGTGATGAAGAATAATTTTTTGTTGTATTTCTCTTATTAATAATAATTTTGTTATGTATCTCTCTTATCAATAGCTTATCCTGTTAGATATTTTTCTAATCAATAAAAATTTTTCTAATTAATGCTACCACTTGATTATTAAAATGTTCGCAATTTGGAAACACGATAAAAATGAGATCAACGATATTTTCTGTGTTCCATATTGCGAACATTTTGATTTTAACTGGCTTAATTTTTGTTCGCAATTAGGAAGCTACGATTATTTAATGTTACGAAATTGTTTTAATCAACATCTGCTGTTAAACGTAAAATATAGAAAAAGATGATATTAAATATAAATATTTCATTTATAACAAAAGCGAAACTTTGAGAAAAACGGTTAATCTTTGTTTCTTTTTATACAAAAATAGTTAGACATTTTCCAGAAACATCCGTAATTCGTTAACATTATGGATTGTGCTATAGGTCAATCCTTTTTTAGTAAAAGGTGCCGAAAAGGTTAGTTTCTATGAAAACTTCAGATGGACTTTTAGAGAACTTTCTGAAGTACCATGACTGCCAGGTTTTCTCTTCGGGCCATGATATTCAGACAGGATATTATGAGTTTACGTACAATGTTCTCTTGTTACGTATAAGCAAAGCATATATCAAGTAAATTTAATCTGAAAAGATATGTGACAGTCTGTGCCGCAGGTCTTCCAAGCAGAGCATGGACAAGTACATGTATACAAGTAAAAGTTAAAGTACTTGTACTTTAGAACAATACTTGTAGTTTTACTCGTTTACTTTCAACAAACACTTTGTACTTGTACTATGAGCATATTCATTATCGCCAACAAGGGAACGCGCCGGGTATTCCACTCCGTTTAAGCGCATATTTTGCTGATCGATAGGGCACATTAGTGTAACAAAACGACTAAAAGGATTTGGGCCCATTCGGCTTCCTTGCCGACTTACGATTGACTTACGAGGGAACCGCGCGAGGCGATAAATCGCTTTTTGATGAAAAATCTGATATTCTGCTTCTCACAGGGTTTCTGCACCGCCTTACGATCTGAATATGGAAAAAACTCTAATCGTGTAATTCAATTCAAACCAATCTACTGCTACTTTGTCGTTTAGAGTTACAAAACGGTTTTCTAGAGATCTCCTAGAAAACCGGTTGTTGAGAAATAGTTTCAACTTTGTTTTAGTTAGAAAAACATAGTTTAAGGTCTTGGCTATCGAATCGCAAAACCGGACGTTTCTATCGCTTTTCGTTCTTGAGTTATTCAAAAATCACTGGCCGACATATAAAAATCCATCAGGAGGGAACCTATTAGAAGACTCTCACTGGAACTCGCACATAGGACCGCGTTAATAATGGAATTTAACGTGTTGTTGTATTACCTCTGAATATCTAGTGAAAAGTTGCATATCAAACTGGTTGTTATTGAAATTTTAATATACTATAGCAGAAATATACTGATTGAAGCAAGCCTCTAGAACTCGGTACCCCCGACAGAGCCCCCGAAGCCATTTTAGCGAAATCCACAAATCGCAGGATGGACTATGATAGTACACTTGGTGTACTTCAGTAGTATACTAAGGGGCTTCAGAATTGCCCCGTTTCCATGAAGAAAATCATTTCTAAAAATCGGCCAAAATGGTCATTTTTGGGCAAAATTGCAACTTTCAAGGCGTCTGTATTGAAAACGAAAGCACCGGAGACCGTCAGACTTTTACCAAATATACCTTGGCATATAATCTGTTTGGAAATATGATTGAAAGTCTTACGGTCAACTTTGTTTCCGATGGATGCTACAGCACAATTCAGGCTTTTCTGGATTTGGGCTCTTAGTGCGCCATCTATTACAAAATAACAAAAGCATGTTTTGAGCTCGCGGTTGCATGGATTTGTAGCTCACACTGTCTACTATTTATGGGGAAATCTCCAAGATTAAATAACCTGTTGGTACTGAATTACAAGAGTTTAAAGTTGGCAAATTTTCAAGATGGCGGAATCTACGTTTTTCGGGGCTTTTCGTAACATATCAATATCTCAGCAACGATACAACTTTTTGATTTGCGCCTTTT